AATAGATCGCCTTATAACTGCATCGAGTAAAGCATACAAGAGATTAAAAGTACCGCGTACAAAAAGTTCCCCGAATAACCGAGGACACCGATAGATCGGATTGGAAAAAAGGTACGGGCGAAAAATTAGTCAACGGATCCGCATTTAATCGCATAATGCCTAATTCGCAAAATGCCCAACGAGTCGCGAAAGGACTACTTCGCAAAACGACCACTTAGCTAAGCGACTACTTGGCGTAATACCTAATTCGCTAAAGGACCAATTCGCAGAATGGCCGTTGACCAAAATACTAGTTCGCGATAGGACTACTTCGCAAAATGTCCAATATTTAACCATTTAGGAAATAAAGGTAAATTTTAACCAAATTACATACAATGTAACTAATCCAAAGCAATCCAGGAGGTAATTATTAGATTTTTTTTTATTACACAGAATCCAAAATTCTTATTTTCATGGTTAACTTATTTTCAAATCAGCGCCATCTCTTCGCATTGTAGGTAACCCACTGTGTGAAAGGAATACCTTTACTAGTATTAAAAATTTTAAAGAAAAAATATCAATTATAGTCTTTTTTATTTACGAAATACTAGAGAATTTCGGACATCAGGGCAGGGCGGAAGCATATGGTCAGTGCATTCACTCGGATAGTAAAGGGTGCGTGATCTCGCGGAGTTTCGTTACTTCTTTAACGAAACGAACTAAGAACTAAATTGAAAAAGACTTACAGTGAACATTAGTGAATTTCATCGTTTCTTGAGTTTATTAAAATATTAGATTGCATTTTCAAACGGGAGATGACATATTACAATACAATACACAATACTTTATTGAAGACACCACAACACAGAACAGAAATGAGGGACATTACAATTGTAAAAAAAAGAGTGTTTCAATGGGCGGTCTTATCGCTAAAAGCGATTTCTTCCAGACAACCTTTTTAGTAATAAATATTACTGATGGATATAAATGGACTTATTATATTTAAAGTCATATGGTAAATATTGGTCATTTTGCGAAGTAGTCCTTTCGGGGATTAGTCCTTACTGGCACTAAGTAGCCAGTCTGCGAATTGGTCCTTTAGCGAATTAGGCATTATGCGAAGTAGTCCGCAGTTAAGAGGTCCTTTTGTGAAGTAGGTAGTCCTCCTCTTGATACTCGGTGGGCATTTTGCTAATTAGGCATTATTCGACTTAACGTCGATCCGATATAAAAGGGGTGAACTTCTCTGGTAAAACGTTTTTTCTTTTTGTTAAACTTCATATTAATTACTACACAACATAATCTCAGAATATTTGCTTTCATAACGTGCGCTTCTGTAGATTCGAGTCCGTGACAGGATCTCGACGGATTTTTTTTCATGATTCAGGGATTTTTGTCCTCCGCGGACAAAAGTTTTTTGTCTTAGCAGGCCATAAAAGTCTACTTTTTATATTATATATCTTTGTCAGTTAATGGATATTAAGTTACTCTCATAACGACGCTTCTCAATTTAATTCATAATCAATTACCGTCTGTTGCTTAGGAGTGATCAAATCGGGGAACGTTTACATAATCTTTTTGCTAATGGCACCGATTCAATCCGGCGGCCTCACAGTTCACGTTGCCTTCGTTATTCAAGAAATATGGAACTTAACGGATTGGAATACGAGTGTTAATACCTGACGTACTGTATACTTCGTGTAAGTTTTTGTAGACATTCGTTCGATGTCTTCCTGATAGACAACCATGCAATAATGGCGCTTTCTAGCCCTTCTGCGATCAAACAAACATGGGAATTGAAAGCTGCGGCAGAAATGTAACGAGATACCGATTTCCGTAAACAGAAACGTACTTACTGAGATGGTTAATTAGGCCACTTAACTGTACACTCGATATTAGAAGATACTGTCTGTGACAAAGTATTCCATCAATATTTAATTACAATTAACAATTAATTATACTTATAATAAATACTCGGAACGATTTCTCAACGATAAAAAAATATTGAAAACATCAATGGCATACTTGAATCCTTGATTTATCTTTAAAATAAAATGTAAGTAGACTTTTTTAATAAAAAAAGCTTTCAAAACAAGTAAACAGCTATCAGATTTCAATTTAAATTTCTGTAAAATCTGAACAATTCTTCTTAAACTTGAGTAGATCATAACTTTACTTTAAAATTATTTTTAGTATTTATCTTTGAGTTGGTGATAAGAAAAGGTACTGTCGCCGTTGTTATTATAGTATTGGTAGACGACTGCCCTGAAAAAGGTGCCTAATTGATCTAAATTGATGTCTGTCTGAATCCCTTCAAAGTTACAGGAAGTATTAATATAACCCATACTAATCTCGTTCCTGAATATGGAATGATAGGGTTCGTAGGAGCAGCAGAAATTAGATAATTGATCCCAGTATTGCTAGAAAATAGTAGTTCTATTTACAAAAGACTAAGCTAACCCTGCCATGTGTTGATGCAATAAAGGCTTTCAACATTTTTTAGATGTTGGTTGTGCCTATAACTATAAAGAAACTCTTGCCTAACAATAAGCGATAAAACAAACAATAAGTAGTATAATTTCAACATTAACACGATTTTAATGAAAAAAAATATTGTTCGTGAAATAATATTAAAACCTCCTCCGTAGCAACTCAAAAAATCGCATCCGCAGCTGTACCTGCTGTTCATCATCAACCTATTAATTTACCTGACTTGTGACTGCCCCACTGCTGGCACATTGGGCTATGGCCCACCACGAGGGCCCAGTGCGCATTGTTAGGTGCTAACGACTGCAGATGCAGCCGGAAACAACGGCACGAAGTGCCTTTCGAAGCATGGTGGAGCTCGATATAACAAATATTTGGTCACCAATCCGTTGACTGGCCATTGCGAAACTTGCTTAACTTCCACGACCGCAGACTGAAAGCGCTTACAACTTGCGCCATCGAAGTACCTGTGAGATTTTATAAACCCTTAAAAATATGAGCTTACTTGAATAGAGGGTATTTGATAGTTTTTAGAAAACGATCTACCGTTATTTATTAATGTTTATGGAGTCCATAAAAGGTGGATTTTTTAATAATGTTGTGTAATTCAGTAAAAAACAACTAAATAAAAAATTAAATTCTCAAGATGCCGCGAAAACGTTTCTCTGGAAATAATGGCGTTTCACTAGTGTCTAACGTCACACGACTGTCATTTAAACGTCAAACGATACAATGTAATGTCACTTTGGCCGGAAGTATACTAGCGTATGACGTCATTTTAGTCTTGGCCAATCCCAGGCGGCCTCAGTCACGTGAGCATGGAGCAAAAGTATCATTTCTATTTAATGATTTCATAGAAATGGTGTTAATGTTTTTTCTTTCAGAATAGTAAAATCGCTGCTAATAATCATATTAAATACAGATGCCAACAGTTGGTACATTATTTTTCATACTGTCAAATAGCGTATTGATAATTTAGATTTGCGCTACCGCGTTCAAACATCTTTCTGTCTGAATTATTATTATTTGACAAGCAAATTTCTTCCATCGTAACCTCATCACTAGTGTTACCAAAATGAATTCAAATATTAACTAACGGTATCATGTGCAATAGAGAATAATACGTTAATACAATAGAACAATGTTCATACCAAGACAAGAATTATGGTTGGGTAGGATACACGTAAGAACTTGATCGGAGGCGAGACATGGGTAAGAGACGTTCACTGTCTATACTGATGTAATACTAGGATGCATAATTGAATAATATATAATCTTGATGTTTATGGAAAGTTCTGCAAAACCACGAGGATATGTTATTTTTCATATTGGATAACATCGCATTCAGTACTTACCCCAAGCACGAACTTTGTCAGATCCATAATCGTATCGCATCGTCAAAGTTTCTATGGTAACTAAGCTAACTTCTTACCGGGCGTAGGAACAAGCTGGCTCCTTCCACAGAAAATTTGACAATGGCGATACGATTACGAAACTATCAAAGTTTTTGCTTTGGCCTCAGAGATTGAATTTGTTTTGTTGGTTGTAACTAATGAGAAGTAGGGCAAGAGCACGCACTCGCACATCCTGTTAAAATGTACGCTATTCTGTCCCTTTCAGAAAAACACAAACAGCATTTATCCAGCTATGTGTACCTGTAAGTCTGTGGTCGTGTCAGAATATAAAATTGCAAATAATACATATACAATGCTAGTTTAATAAGCATCAAAGGCGCGGCCAATATCAAACCGAATATAAAAATAAGCGGCCAAGTGCGAGTCGGACTCGCCCATGAAGGGTTCCGTAGCAGCAAGTAACATATATAAAAGTACATACTTATAGTTCGTTGTAACTTTGATCGATGTTTTAATAATAGTGTATTTTTTTAAATTATTTTTTTATTAAAAAAAAATACTACTTACTAGATCTCGTTCAAATCAAATTTGGTGGAAGTTTGCATGGTAATGTACATCATATATTTCTTAGTATTATCATTCTCTTATTTTAGGAACCCCCAAAATTTATTGTTTTTTTTTCTTTTTTTCTGTGAAATGCTTAATGCGGTTCAAAGAATACATCTACTTACCAAATTTCAACAGTATAGTTCTTATAGCTTCGGAAAAAAGTGGCTGTGACATACGGACGGACAGACAGACATGACGAATCTATAAGGGCTCCGTTTTTTGCCATTTGGCTACGGAACCCTAAAACAGAAATGCAGATGCATTCGATACCAACAGCTTGACGTGCCTTCTAAAGCACGGAGGAACTTGAATTAATAAGTTTTTTTCTTAGTTCACCCATTCAGTGACCGTCAATTGCAAGTTGCCACGCAACCGATCGCGCTAACCACCTTCGCCATCGAGTTCCTTGCAACTTACCATACTTAGGTACCATGTTTTACGTGAAAATTGCAAATTGGTCTCAACGACTTACAAAATATGCTCTATGGCAAATGGTTAAATCCAAAATGCAGTGTGCACAGATTAGGCGTAAGTCTGTTATGGTTAGTTTTATGTAACACTATTTCGCAGAGCCGGCGGCGGTGGGAGGTTGCAAGCCGGCGGCGGCGGCGCAGCCGCTGCGCCGCGTGCAGCCTCAGGAAAAGATCAGGTACCAAAACATTTCCTACTTCATTTGTTCATTGCGCGCCGATACGCGCGGACGTTGTTTTCCATCGGAATAACCACTTGTGCGCTTATCAATTACATACTTTTAGTGGTTGTGCGAGCTATATGATTGTATTGTGTTTTTGTGATATTGGTGTTCAATCGTATTTGTTTGGCTACTTACTGTATGTCATCCACGGAGTCTGATACTAATACTGAGTGAGTTCGTATTATGTAAACAATGTTGACCTTATCATTATTCATTACTTACATCTAATACGCAATCTCATGTCATGTTAAAGGTTTTAGAGCTGTTCTATGGAGAATAAGATTTTGTTTACTTGACTCTAACGTCATGAAATAAGCATTTTATTGCTGGTATTTTAATTTACACAACTTTGTTATCATAATTCTAGCCATTAAACAAAAGTTACTTGATCCGTCATTAGTTCATTAACTTCACTGCGGTATTTAGCAATTTGTTGTAAATGTGAATGATGTCATAACGTAAAGTCCCTTCTAAGCCCTCTATTCGACATAGTTTAAAATATCCTTCTTCATGTCAAAGTATTTCTTGATATACGTTTTGGTTGCCGATAATTCATTATTGACTTTTAAGTGCGGATTTGATAAGAAATTATAACATAACTACTTAAGTGATAATCATACCAAGATTAATTTTATTTACTTTACTCTTTTATCAATTAGCCCACCTATGGACTTTCAAAAGAGTTATCATTAGCCTTAAAGTCCCCTGATGAAGCACATAATTTGTTCAGACTAGGTCTTCTCAAAACAAGGATAGCCTTCTATTCCAAGTGGCATACCTCGCAATAGTATATACTATATGCTGCAAAAATACAAATAAGTTAACTCGCATTTTCGCATGATTATTATCATTATAGCATTATTTCTACAAAAAACTTCTTACTTAAACTAAAAGCCGACCTTGGCGATCGCTGAAGGTTTAGCATTATTGTTTTCTGCCTTTTACTCTTTGTTGCTTGCTTTTCTATCAATGTTGTTCGATAACCTTGACTGTGCTTCCGTCCGATGTAATCATTTTCGCTTCTTTTGCGTAGTTCAATTGGAGAAATCATTTAATTCATCTTTGAAATAATTTTAGTTAGTATTGGGTAAACTAGTAAATCATCGCATGTCAATCATTCGTAGAATTTATTGTAAACTTACGTTGTCTTGAACCCTTAATACTTTAACCAGGAAGATGTAACTTTACTTATTATTATTTCATGGTCATGCGTACAGTAATCATGACTAAGATGTTATAATTGTTATTCAAAATGTCATTGATTGTAGGTTCGTAGTCGCCAAATGTTTTTCTGTAATGCTGCGTTTCCAATAGTCATCAGAAGAGTTCCGAGCGAGTAAAAATGGTTTGTTCGGTAAATGGAATGCTCAAAACAATGTTGCGTTGTTTCTATTGATAACTGAACAAAAGAGCATTCCTTCCCTGACACCAGTCAAACGAACTTGTTCGCTCGCTTTGATGTTGCCATTTACAGAACGAGCAAATGTTTGCTCGTTCAGAACTGTTTTGAGCAGTGGAAACGCAGCATAATACGTTATCGTTGATAGTTTTTCTTCTCTTGAGCGATTTTATAAAATAATATCTCACTTCCGATTTCGGTAGCTGCCATTTTAGACATTACTTAGTTTGATATGCATAACGCCATTACACGGCAAAATGTCACTATATCTGTAGAATCAGCAAGTATTAGATATTTTTCATTTGTCAAAAATCCGAATAAATAAGATCGTAAGTGAGATTGCGTCTTACAGAATACCTATGCAGCGTTTCCATTTTTTACAACAAGGAAAATTGATCTAATATGAAATCGGAATCTTGGTTCAAACTACGAGTACAATAATATTAGACCGAAATTATATTAATTTGCATTACTATATTAAAATGTAATGGAGATTATAGTGTGCCTGTTAAAGATGTTCGTCTAAGGTCAATATATACCTACCCATTTATTTCCATAGCTAACGTAATCAGTCCCTTTTAACTCAAAATGCACAAGGTATTTCTCAAACTCAATCAACTGATTTGCTTACACGTTATTGTGTCAAGATCACTCGCTGTAAAGTCAATGCTGTGGGTATATTTAGATACTAACGCTACTTAAAACTGCTGAATGTCTGCCGAATAGATTGTCCGAGTATGCAGATTTGTAATTTGCTCAATATTGTGTAATTTATTTTTAAGTTTTATTACTTTAACTAAAGTCAATATTATTTCTGTTTCTGTTGCAATGTCGTTGACCTGTTAAGTCAACAAATTGTGTGATGCAGCATTTATATTTTTAATTAGTTATCACTTATTGCTATCTTATTATGATATTTTCAGTGTTTTTAATGTTTGATTAATATAGGTATTTTGAACTTGTTATTCATAATAAATTGAATTGCGAATTAATAGAATTTTGATGTCCGCATTGTTCTCACATAATATTATTGATCGTTTTAATCTCCCTGAAATTTATAATACTCAAATACATCTGCCGACATAAAGCATTTTTGTATCTAACGGAAATTAGAAACAAATTTCGAGATAGTGTTTTAAAATTTTGTTTGCTTTAAAATTGTTCACACGTAATCGTAATAAAAATAAATTAATAGGCGCGATTGTGTAATTGCACCGGGCCGTTCTATTACCTAGTACATTGAGACCAGATGTTTCTAATCGCGTGGATTGTAGTATTGCATATACATTCAACGTTTGCAAAACAATAAGGTTCGCTCTCGGTGCGTTTGTGCAATCGTCCTTCGTTGCTCGTAAGTCGTAACTCGTAAGTAAACTTCTTAACAATCATTACCTTTTTAAGCTGTCAAACTGGATCTATTCGACTGCACGAAGACATAATATCGACTAGGGCATAAAACTGCAATTACACAAACAAGACGGCCGGCCGTACTATCGAAAGTGTGCCATCGCGCGAGAGGGGCTTAATGTTGGACACTCACCGGCCTTGCCCTCCTTTGCTGTTACGTGACTTAGAATTTGGAGGTGCGACGTGACCGCTCTATGGGATAACTGATGATAAGAATGACACCATTGAATCGTTTGTTCTTGACGGCAATGACTTCGGCGCGATGCGATTATGATTTGTCGATTCTCAAAACGTGTTTTTTTTTTGTAACAATTTCGCTTTGAATTTGAATAATGGGTTTTATAAGTTTTGATACTTTAAACTTTAAACGTCGTTGTGGACGACTTTTTGCAAAATATATCCATCCAAATTTGCGGAGATTAAAGAATGGTTTTCTTTTTACCTTACCTGTGACACAATTTTTTTTTTTTGTCGTCTACAGATCTGGACCTACGAAGCCCCGGCGTCCGGATCGTGCTGTGTACGTGCCGCGGGCACTGCGATCGACGGATAACAATTCCTCCGACGAAAGCAAACCAGAAGTCAATCATAGGCGGTCGAGTCATAGCGCCGAGACACCCAAGTGCCCTAAATCTCCAGCTCCCAAAGAGAAAAATCGGGATTTACCGGGAACTCCACGAAAGTCTCTGGACAAGGCCTTTTGTAACGTATACACACCGCCTCACCTCAGAAATCAAAGATCTCACACAGCGCCCAGTTTAGGCAGCGAAGCGACGGCGAAAGATACAAACGAATCTGTGCCTTCAGCTTGCCAAGTGCCAAATAGTGATAGTGCAATATCGTTTAGTGATAATAGTTATAATGAAGTAGAAGTAGGTGAGAATTTTTATATAGGAGATTATTTTGCTAACGGACAGCTCGGCTTCTATAGCCCCAATTATTATAGTGAGTACGTCGATCACGAGTACGCGCAAGAAAACGACTGGGGAACAAATGAGCCTGACCAAAAAATGGCTGTAAACGAAGCTAACGAAAGTAATATTATTGATAACGATTATCTATACAGTAAGGATGAAGATGTAGAGCAAAAAGAGTTAAAAAGAGCGTCACAGGAGATAAATAGAAGTAGTAAACGTATTATAAAACAGAGTTTTCATTCTGATGTACTAGTCATATCGGACCCTGTAGAAAATGAGAAACCAGATAAAAGTGAAATTGAAATGCCCGTGGAACGAAGAGAAAAAGAGCCTGAACCGAAGAAGTTAAAGTCCAAATTGGAGCCTAAGGTTTCGCTGAAGAGGGAAGAGAACGATTGGGATGCAGTATTCGATGATAGTGGAGAGTGCTTGGACCCTTCCTTGCTTGAGGAACTGGCATCTACTGTTGGGAAAGTGCACATAAGTAAAGCAAAAAATAGCTACGACCAGTACCAAACTCGGGGCCAGGCGTTGTTTAACGGTCCATATGACGAAACGTTTGGCCACGTGGTGGAAGTGTACGATTTTCCCAGTGAATTCAAGACGAACGATTTGCTGTCGGTATTCAGCGAGTACAAGGAAACGGGATTCGAGATCAAGTGGGTGGATGACACGCATGCGTTAATTGTCTTCAGCAGCGCTAAAATTGGTGAGTCACCACTTTTTTTTGTTAAACAACAACTACCTATTACTTACATGTAGCTTTTCCTCCGGCTCGAAGCACCAATTTACAACGTCATATTAATTGTTAAAATTTAATCATTATTATAAAAGATACAGGACTCAATGGTTTGCCGGTCCACTAAGAGCACCTGTTTGGGAAAGTGTTCTTTATTAAAGAAGACTATAAACAAACCTTTATAATATTACTCTGCAGTATCGTGTTCCCGGACTACGTAAGATACAAGATGAGGCTTGTATTGCCGCTACATTAGCTTCGACGCATCTGAAATCCAGACACATTTTACGTTAGAGGTTTTTATAATAGAGATAGAGAGACAATTTGGGGCTTTGTTACGATACTATTAAATCATGTCGATAAGACAAATAGAAAAATATTTTTTACTTAAATTGAAATAATGTTTCGAAATCATCCAAAGCTTTAGTCACGAACGTTCAGATCTAGGCTTCCTACGTAACTTCAAATAATGACACTATTGGAAATATTGGTAGGATTCGTACGTTAAGGAATAACATAAAGCCCTCACGGGGCGCGCTAGCTCCACTATCAGGAAGGTCGTCAAGCATTACCCGGATCCATCAATAACTGCCAATCACTGCACATTATGGAAATACTATAGCTTGTACTGTCCATATACAAACCTGCTTGAGAAAGTGAGTACAATTTATATGTCTGTTGATCACCTTGTAAGATCACTAGCCAACGTTCGTTTAAGGCTTAACTATTTATTATAAATTAGATGTGTTCGAGACTGTTCGTTTGGATGTCAGGACAAGCAGTAAAAGAAGCTCTTAAAAGGTATTTTTTATTGCAATATTTTTCATTGATATTCCGCTCATATTGATTGTAGAGTGATGTTACAATATGGCTTAAGGTCTTCGCCGATGAATGGACTATCCAATACATTTTTTTTATTGCAAAAGTAATTTACAATAGAAAAAGAATATTTACATCAAACCAGAGGCCCAAACGAACTTTGCTAGATTTTCAATCGTATTGCCATCGTCAAATTTTGTATGAAAGCAGCAAGTTTGTTTATACGTCTGGTAGGGGCGCTGCTTACTTTTCATAGAAACTATAACGATGCGACTTTTACGGAGCTGTCAATGTTCATCCTTGGGTGTCAGTAGTTAGGTCCTCCTGGGATAAGCGGGCTTAACCAAACGTACCTGAACATTTTACATGACCTAAAATCACATAGTCCCGTCTGCTGCCTGGTCCGCGTAGATTTTTTCATCTATAATCACATAGTGTTGTTATATCCAGTTGAAAGTACCAGACATTTATTTCTTGCAGCGGGGTAATCTAAATGCTCTGGAATTTTTGCGTTGCTTAGGCAACACCTAGCCTAGACTAGCGTGAGAAACAATTCTCGACTCGAGGCGAGGAGCGAACATTGCGTAAGTAAAACGTAATATTTCGTTCCACTATTCGCGCAATAGTAAAGTTAACCTATACCTACCCCAGATAATATTATAATACTATACTAGCACTCATACTTATCATCAAGGAACATGTTTGATGTAATCACACTAATATTATAAAGGTGAAAGTATGTGAGTGTGTGTGTGTGTGTTTGTTACTTCTTCACGTCTATACGGCTGGAGCGGTTTTAATAAAATTTGGTATGGAGTTAGCTGACACCCTGGATTAACACATAGGCTACGTTTTACTGCGGGAAAATATCCCTAATAAACCGCGGGTAACACCGCGAGGCACAGGTAGTGTTTCATGTAAATAGGTGTACTGAATTAAGTAACTGTTTTTACCTACAGTACCGATGCTAATCAGTCCAAAAGTTATAGATGTTGTAGCGACCCATTAATCATTAAATAAATCCAGTAAGCAATATGAATTCGCATGATGATGCAACGGTGGAGAATGCTGTAGAAACCTCTCTGCCCACCCTTATTCGAATATTGGATTCAACTGGAACGCTGTTGAAAGAAAAAAGACAATTTACATGAATCGTAATTATTAAAATTGTATACGGATTTCAGAAATAGGAAACGCGAATTTATAGAACATATTTTATTTGGGAAAAATTTTACAAAGAATTATAATGTACGAAATGATGACCTTTAAGGCTAGTTCGTGCATTTTACGGCGCCGGCGGGCTGCATCGGATTACCAAAAACTACATAAATCACTTACGTACATTTACACATTATACAGCCCGCATCGCAAAGCGTAGTATGTGTATCGAAAAATTACGCCTAGGGAGCGTATAGGAGTATTTTTGCGGCGATTTTATGGGTTGCGATGTGGCCCACCTCAATGTGCGTTGGAAGGCGCTGGCGCAATATTTAAAAAACTTCATGATACTTTACGTATCCTCATCATCATCCTCCGTTCTTTTTTCTTTCTTCGAAAATAAAAAATAATATCCTTTTCTAATTTTCTAATTGAATAATTATAATTATTCGTCAGAACTATCCATCGATGTGGACTGTCAATGGTTGACTAATGCAATTATTGCGTTTACGGCGCGCACAACTTCAATGTGCTTTAGCGCAATTTTGCAATGCAAGGCATGGCTGCGGCCCGTCGCGGCTGTAGTATGCACTACTCTTTGTAGTGTCACCGGGTTTGCATACTACACTAAACTCATTAAATGTCATGACAAATCAAATGACATGTCAGATTCTACACGAAGCGTCAAATGGCAACTATTTATTGATACTAAGGTCAATATAATCCCTCTGCTATTTCGACTGCCGCTGCAGACTACTCGCGGCCGCAGCTGCACAATTAGTTGCATATGCAGTCGAGTGTGTGCAGCTGTAGCACTGTTCAAAATCAATTTTGTAGAACGCTATACAAAGCACTAGTGCGGTACGAGCACATTTATTTGTAATAAAAATATAAACTAAATTGTCCTCTGTCTCAGCCGCTGCCGGGCGGCTGCCGGGCGGAAATTAATTAGTATATTTTGATATGCAAGATTAAATCAATTTGAATACAATTTAAACTTCTGTTAACAAGTCACCGTTCTATTGTTGTTGTTACTCAACCGTTAGTGGGCCAGTCGTAACTACATCATAAAGAACTACACACATCGGAAGCGATGCGGCGAGCTGTAAACGAAATGTTGATTCGTACTGTGTCCTAACAATCAATATTTTTACATCCAATTTAGAACTATAAAAGAATGACTGAAAATCTCCACTACGCTGAAGACTGTATATCGCCACTTTGCAAGAAGACTGTATTAAAATAACATTGTTTTGTACTGCAAAGGTTGCCTGGGCCTTTCCCGACCAACTGACAAACCGAATTTAATATGATTGAACTATTTCGTGCTCTTTCGAAACAAGACGCATTAAGTATAAGAGTGGCAGGCTCGACTCGAATAGCGTGCAGAGAGCCGAGGTTTAAGATTGGATTGCGTTTCATTTAGTTTTGTCAAACAATCCAATGTAGCACTGAAAGATATTCTTTTTTAGTTTATTATGTGCTTGCTTAGCGTTAAAATAGAGATCAGCATGAAACGGCTATTTAGATCCTATCGCGTGGCTATCTAAAGTTCATGCTGGAGACCGTCACGACTAGCTTTATGTGTGTCGCAATCCTAAAATTATGATGGCTGTGCATCTGATCAATTCTCAACGGCGCCGCGAATAGTCACGAAATTTAACCTCCGAAATAACCTTACCGCTTTTGCCACAGATTAATTTGCCATTTAAAAATACTGAAATTTTGAATATGGAATGCTCGCTTGTTATATCTTAGATGTGCTTCATATGCGCAGTTAGTAATTGTATTATTTTTTAAATTTATCTTAAAACAAGAGATAAAATATATAAATTAGTAGGTTACCTACTGTGATTTTTTATCTACCAGTATGTAACTCCTGAAAGTGTATTAGTAGTAACATAAAACATTATCGAACTCATTACGTCAACTTTTCAACACAATAGAATTTTACGTCATTTGTAGCCCGATATAACTGCCGATTAATAGGTTGTTATTTAATATTATGGAAGAGGTTTAGATGTTTTTATAATTCAATTAAGATAATGATTGAACACGAAAGAATCACAATTTTTCAATAAATTAAATACCAAAATTATAGTTCCTATAGGTATGTCTAGTGGGTGGCCGCGACTTCGTCTGCGTGGAAAAATAGTTTTTCCGTAGAAACTTCAACCCTTCTTTTCACCCCCTCAAATGATGATTTCTGAGATAAAAACTTTACTTTCCGAGACTCGAATTATCTTTATACCAAACTTCACCTAACTCGGTTCTGTGATTGACAATTATTCAAGCAGACAGATAGAAAGACATCCAGACACAATTTCGCATTTGTAATATTAGTACTTATATTAATTTTATGTAATTATCTCTTATCTAAATGTATTTTTGAAAAGATTAAACTGAATGGCTGACAAGTCATCGAAAACAGGGTTTAGTTAGAATCATGCAAAATTTTTTTCTTCGGCGCTACACTCTTGACGGAGTGGTCGTGGTCGTCACATCCACCACTGTTTGAAAACAGTGCTCCAAGGTAGACGTATGACTGAACGACATTGCAGTTCGCGATTTTAGTGACTTCTGGCGAGTTGTTATTAGCACGATCGACCATCATAATCTTGGTCTTACTGGGATTTATTTTCAGGCCAAAATGAGGACTAACTTGCTTCATTTTGCTTAGTAGAGATTCCATGTTACTGGCGTTTGTTGTAAACAGTGTGGTGTCGTCCGCATACCTCAGATTGCAAGTCTTATAGGTTCCAATACTGATTCCGCCTGACCAATTCTCGAGTGTTATTCTCATAATGAGTTTTGTGTAGGTGTTAAACAGTATCGAAGTCATATTACAACCTTGTCGGACTCCGACACTGGCGTGGAAATGGTTCGATAAAATGTCGTCTGCTCTAACTGAGGCTATTCCGTCTTTGTAATAACCTTCTCAAAAGGTGAACAAGGTGTTTTGGTGTTCCCATATCCAGGAGAGTCTTCCAAAG